CCCCTACTAGCCTAGCGAACTTCCCCTACTAGCCTACTGAAATTCCGTACTAGCATAGCAAATTTCCCATGCTAGCCTATCGAACTTCTCTTAGTAGCCTAGCAAACATAAGAACATAAGAACGTAAGAAAGGAGGAACACTGCAGGAGGCCTGTTGGCCCATAATAGGCAGGTCCTTTACAATTCATCCCACTAACAAAACATTTGCCCAACCCAATTTTCAATGCCACCCAAGAAATAAGCTCTGATATGAAAGTCTCACTCAAATCCAACCCCTCCCACTCATGTACTTATCCAACCTAAATTTGAAACTACCCAAAGTCCCAGCCTCAATAACCCAACTAGGTAGACTGTTCCACTCATCAACTACCCTATTTCCAAACCAGTTCTTTCCTATGTCCTTTCTAAATCTAAACTTATCTAATTTAAATCCATTACTGCAGGTTCTCTCTTGGAGAGACATCCTCAAGACCTTATTAATATCCCCTTTATTAATACCTATCTTCCACTTATACACTTCGATCAGGTCTCCCCTCATTCTTCGTCTAACAAGTGAATGTAACTTAAGAGTCTTCAATCTTTCTTCATAAGGAAGATTTCTAATGCTATGTATTAATTTAGTCATCCTACGCTGAATGTTTTCTAACGAATTTATGTCCATTCTGTAATATGGAGACCAGAACTGAGCTGCATAATCTAGGTGAGGCCTTACTAATGATGTATAAAGCTGCAGTATGACCTCTGGACTTCTGTTGCTTACACTTCTTGATATAAATCCCAGTAATCTATTTGCCTTATTACGTACGCTTAGGCATTGCTGTCTTGGTTTAAGGTTGCTGCTCACCATAACCCCCAAGTCCTTTTCGCAATCTGTATGGCTAAGTTCTACATCATTTAACTTATAAGTACTAGGGTTATGGGCACTCCCAAGCTTCAGAACCTTGCATTTATCTACATTGAACTGCACCTGCCACTTTTCTGACCAAGAATAGAGTTTGTTTAAATCCTCCTGAAGTTCCATAACATCTACGTTTGAATCAATTATCCTACCTATCTTTGTGTCATCGGCGAATTTGCTCATATCACTAGTAATTCCCACATCAAGATCATTGATATATATTATAAACAACAACGGGCCCAAGACTGATCCCTGAGGAACGCCACTTGTTACAGATCCCCACTCAGATTTAACCCCATTTATGGACACTCTCTGCTTCCTGTCAGTGAGCCATGACTCGATCCATGAGAGCACTTTTCCCCCAATGCCATGAGCTGCCACTTTCTTTAACAGTCTATGGTGTGGAACTCTATCAAAAGCCTTACTAAAATCTAAGTAAATAATATCAAATTCTTTATCGTGGTCAACAGCCTCAAAAGCTTTACTGAAGAAAGTTAATAAATTAGTTAGACAAGACCGGCCTCTTGTGAATCCATGCTGAGTATCATTAATCAAGCTATGCTTATCAAGATGGCTTCTTATAATCTCAGCTATAATTGACTCTAGTAATTTGCCTACAATTGAGGTCAGGCTTATTGGGCGGTAATTTGACGGTAACGACTTGTCCCCTGTTTTAAAAATAGGAATTACATTAGCCATCTTCCACATATCAGACACTAACCTGTTTGAAGAGATAAATTAAAAATATTAGTTAATGGTTCACAGAGTTCCATTTTGCATTCCTTAAGAACCCTTGAAAAAACCTCATCAGGACCCGACGACTTATTTTGCTTCAGTCTGTCTATATGCTTCACAATCATTTCACTAGTGACTGTGATGTTACATAATTTATCTTCTTCTAGCCCACTATAAAAATTAATTACTGGAATATTGTTAGTGTCTTCCTGTGTAAAAACTGAGAGAAAATAATTATTAAAAATCGAGCACATTTCATTCTCTTTGTCAGTAAGGTGCCCATAGTTATTTTTAAGGGGACCTATCTTATCTCTAACTTTTGTTCTATAGACCTGGAAAAAACTTTTTGGGTTAGTTTTAGAATCCCTAGCAACTTTAATTTCATAGTCCCTTTTAGCTTTTCTTATCCCCTTTTTAATGTCCCTCTTAATGTCAATATACTGATTCATAAGATGACCCTCACCTCTTTTGATACGCCTATAAATTCCTTTCTTATGCCCTAGTAGATATTTGAGCCTATTATTCATCCATTTTGGGTCATTTCTATTTGATCTAATTTCTTTATATGGGATAAACGTTCTTTGAGCAGAATGTATAGTGTTCAGAAAACTGTCATATTGATAGCTCACTTCGTTAGCCCAGTCAACAGATGATAAGTATTCTCTAAGCCCATCGTAATGTGCTAAGCGAAAATCTGGGACTGTTACTGAGTTATTACTACTATCGTACTTCCATTCAATGCTAAATGTAATTGATTTGTGGTCGCTAGCACCCAGTTCCTCTGAAATTTATAAATTTTTAACAAGGGATTCATTGTTTGCCATAACTAAGTCAAGCAGGTTATTTCCCCTTGTAGGTTCTGTCACAAACTGCTTCAAAAAACAATCCTGAACTACTTCTAAGAAATTGTATGATTCTAAATTCCCAGTCAAGAAATTCCAATCAATATGACTAAAGATAAAGTCTCCTAGAATTACTACATTATCGTGCCTTGTGGCCTTAACAATTTCCTCCCATAGTAGTCTCCCCTGGTCCCTATCTAAGTTTGGGGGACGGTATATCACTCCTAAAATCAGTTTTTCATGCCCCTCTGAAAATTCTATCCAAACAGACTCTGTATGTGTTACTTCAGACTTAATACCCGTTTTTATGCAACAGTTCAAGCGATCTCCGACATACAATGCCACCCCACCCCCTTTCCCGATATTTTTATCTACTTGGAACAATTTAAAACCCTGAATATGACATTCCGCAGGCATGTCCCGACTTTTTGAATTAAACCACGTCTCAGTTAAGGCAAATACGTCAATGTTACCTGCACTAGCAATTAATCTCAACTCGTCCATCTTATTCCTAGCACTACGGCAATTAGCATAATAAACATTGAAAGACTCTCCTTTCTCTCTGCCCTTCCTGCTCATTTCTGTTTTTCTATTAAACCTATTACTGTCCTTATCACCCAAAGTCCCTGACCTTTCAATATCTACCTCGTTCTGCTTATTACTAGTTCCCCCAGATCTCGTAATGGGACTTCACTGTTTTCCTGCCAAAACCACTAACTATTCCTAGTTTAAAGTCCTAACTGCTCCCTCCACTGCAGTTGCCAGTGCTACCACCCCAGATCTAGATAAGTGAACCCCATCCCTGGCATGCATGTCATTTCTGCCATAGAAGAGGTCCCAGTTGTCAATGAATGTTACCGCATTTTCCTTACAGTATTTGTCCAGCCAGCAATTGACACCAATTGCCCTGGACAACCATTCATTTCCAACTCCTCTCCTTGGCAAAATACCACATATGACAGGGTTCCCACCCTTACTCCTAATTATTTCTATTGCTGACCTATACCTGCTAATCAGGTCTTCACTCCTACGTCTGCCAACATCGTTGCCTCCAGCACTGAGACAGATAATAGGATTGCTCCCATTACCTCTCATGATGTCATCCAGACGGCTAACAATATCCTCCATCCCAGCCCCAGGAAAGCAAACTCTCTGTCTCCTACTCCTGTCCTTCAAGCAGAACGCCCTATCCATATACCTAACTTGGCTATCCCCAACAACAACAATATTCTTACCTTCCTTGGTGTCGTTCGTCGTGGTGTTCCCAGTAGTCGACTCACATTCGTCGGGTAGCACTGAGAATGTATTAGATGTTTCCACAACAGTTTCCACGACAGTCTCTTTCTTCTTCATCGTTTCTACCTTTCCATTCGTCTTCTTGATCGTCAACTTCGTTCCCTGCTGTCCAGCCACTGGCCAGTTTCCCTTCTTGACCTGAGGACTCAAAACAGGAGGACTACTACGAATCTTCTTGTTTTCCTCGGTCAGTCGCCGAATCTACAACTTCGCCATCCTCAATTCTTCCTTAAGCTGTTGGTAAAGCTGCTCGATGGAGGGCATCTTGCTTCAATTCGTAGAGAGCGAGCAAACAGGTCTTCACAGAGCTAAGTACACGTCAACACCTTTTCTACTAGCCTGGCGAACTTCCCTACTAGCCTAGGGAACCTCCCTTACTAGCCTAGCGAACCTTTCCTACTAGCCTAGCATACTTTCTCTATTAGCCTGGTGAACTTCTCCTACTAACATAGCGAACTTCCCTTACTAGCCTAGGAAACCTCCCATACTAGCCTAGCGAACCTTTCCTACTAGCCAAGCAAACTTTCTCTATTAGCCTGGCGAACTTCCCTTACTAGCATAGCGAACCTCCCAGACTAGCCTAGCATTGGTCACACTAGGATCATCCTCAGAGACTTTCCCAAAATGGAGTAATAAACAAACAGAACAAGTCTTAATTGTGGCAATATTTCGCTCTGAGTAAAATTTACCAAGTAATTAAGACTTGTAGCAGCTTTGTGTTGATCGGAAGATCTTGTAATAAAAGTTTGTCCTGGATATATAAATCTCCACTTATACAAATACACTATGTGAAAAAGACAACGTGTGGTCTATTGCATATTATTAATGAACACTGTACATTTATGGTACACAATACCTACAAGATGAAGAATTAGACACATGTGCAACGTCTAGGTATCTTTATTGTAGAAGTTTCGGCATCCAGTGACTTCATCAATACATACTTCAGGACATAATTGGAAGACAGTAGAACTTTATAAAAAGATTAAGTAATCAGTCCCGTTAGCCTTGGAGTTGGTGAGGAGCACCGTAGTCGAGAAGAGTCTGAAGCACAGGTTAAGTTAGGTTAGATAAAGTTTGCCAGGATACGTTTTGTCCACCAGTAACTTTATCAGTTCCTCACATCTTAAGAACTGATAAAATCAATAGTGGATGACGTCTTCACACGAAACTTGCCAAAAACCCCGAATTGTGTCTTATTTACAAAGACTTTTCACTGTTTATCAAAGGTTCAGTTACTGCACTGCATCAGTCAGATCGAGGGTGACGGTGGGGACAACCTCTTCGTCGACTCCTTTCAAGCGGCGGCAATCTTTCGTTCTCTGCATCCTGACAGGTTCAACCTCCTGGTGAAAACTCCCGTCGTTTTCAGCGACACAGGTGTTGAGGATGGCCAGAAGTTCCACATCGCCAACCAGACCTCAGTCATCTGGTCAGTGCAAAGAAATAACGAAGTTATAGAAATCGGTGCTCAAATAATAATAATGATAATTATATGAAACGGAAGGAGACGGTGAGCACGTTTCTTTATACCCTTTGTTCTTTTCCACCTACTACAGGTGAACAGGTGTAAAAACCAAGTGTTGTGGGTTAAATCCTGGTGAAGAGGACCAAAGGATCATGACTCACTAAATCGTAATGACACGATTGCAAACAAACCATACCACGGGCAGGGATAGAACCCGCGATCGGAGAGTCTCAAAACTCCAGACCGTCGAGTTCGCCACTGGGCCAACTAGCCACAGCTGGCCCAATGGCTAACGCGATGGTATGGAGTTTTGAGACTCTCTGATCGCGGGTTCTACCCCCGCCTGTGGTAAGGTTTACCAAAGGATCATACAGGGAAAAGGCCACACTGAATGTTTTTTTTTTTATGATCTGATGTACAGCAACAAAATTTATGATGAGACTGTTGACTGTCTTTCATTCCCAACTGCATGATTGGCTTTGTGTGATTATCTCGGATTAGTTACCTTCCGGGCTTAATAATAATAATAAAATCTTTTGTCTTTTCTTCTACTCTTTTGTCTTTTTCTTCTACTTATTCTTTTTTTTCAGTCTTGACGAGGCTGGAAACATTGCGACGGTCAACATGAACAACATATGTCGGGACTTCATAAATCTTGCACCAGCAGACGTCTTTGGCTGGTATGAAGCACTTTACGTCTTCTCGAACATTCTCAACCATCCTCAGAACGTCATATCCTACAAGCTGAAACCTGGTATGTCTATTACGACATTCGTCTTCGGAACGCTTATTAGTATATTGTGAAGGCTTACTCAGCCCTGTAACAACTTCAGACAGTATTACCAAGGCTGGCTCCTCCTCAGGAAAATTAATGAATAGAAAAAGAACAAAAACTGACAAACATAAACACTTTATTATTTAGAAAATATAAAATATAAAACACTTAAACATGAAATATTAATCCTACCTTAAAGAAAATGAAAAATGAAAAATATAAATGATATCTGAATTCAACGCTAATATATATATATATATAAAACTTGGGAGTCTGTTGTTGGTGACACTGCGTGTTGATGAAATCATAGCCGTTGCCGATGATGGGGGGGGGGGGTCGCAGGTGTTGATGACAACCCACCGGCTCGTTCTTCACAGATTTTCTAGCCGTCAATAATTCGTCCAGATGACAGGAAAGCAGGTTTTTTCCACTGCAATGATGAGGGGTTATATCCTGCTACTTGCATACACAAACAGGTAAGTGGATCAAAATTTGGGATGTCTCAGAACGTTAGTCCGTCTCCTTCAATTCTAATCGTTGATTAGCAGATGACCCTCTCTGTCCTTTCAAGCTGTAAAGGTGACAGATTACCCACTGCTTAAGAAATCACTCTCCATGATAAGTACAATACCTAAAAGATGTGGTGGATTTTTAAAAACATTTTAACCAATCAAGACTGAAAGGACTAAGTTAATTATTGGTCAAAAGTGAAGCTTTCGACCAATAAGTCCACTAAAATATGATCAGGCATGTACTTACAGTAGTGTTGGGGCTGTGAGTCGAGTGATTTACTGTTTGACCGGGGGGCCCCACACGTCACCTTTCGGGGGGGGGGGAAGAGGGAGGGGAAGGGATAGTGGGAGCTAGACTGATCCTACCTTAACAAGTAGCTGGCAACCAAACTATCACTTTTGGGGAGGGGGAAAAAGGGGGGGGGGGAATAGCTGGACCGGGACTTACCCTACCTTAACAAGTAGACGGCAATGAAAATATTGTTACTGTACACTCCCTCGCTACTCCTATCTATTGAACTTTTCCCTCACACTCCCCCATACCAAGACTTATAGTCAAGGAGTATAAGAAGAATAGGCTAGGAAAAAGTTCAAACATGTGGAAGTCGCATAAGGCAACAAATCTTCTACTGACTGTAACGACTTAACCAGTCAGATAAATAATTGGATGAACCATTGATATACACAATATGGAACTCAAAAGCCTGGAGTGCCCAAAGTCCACCTCAAGAGGCGACTGTGGTTCCTTAAAAGTTCTAGGTATATCAAAGATTTGTGGTCCGTTTCTAAAATGAATTCTTTTCCCAGCAAATAAAATTTAAGTTTGGAGATACCCCACACAAGGGCCAAACATTCCTTTTCAATGGTGGAGTATCTCGTTTCTGTGGGAAGAGTTTCCTGCTTAGGAAGCATACAGGAAGGGAGTACCATCTGGTATTTTTAGTAGCACTGCACCTAAGCCAGTATTGGAGGCATCAGTTCTCAAACAAAATATTTTATTAATATCTGGAATCTTAAGTATAGGGTCTTTTGAGAAGATATTTTTAATCTCATTAAACTTTTCCCGAGCTACATCGGAAAGTTCAAGAGGTTCCTTCACAGACTTTTTAAGGAAATCGGATAAGATGCCTGTAAGATCAGTAAGGTTCGGGGTTTAAAATGTGCATAAAAATTTACAGAACCAAAAAAGCTTCGCATGAGCTTTTTGGTTTTGGGGGGAAATTTAAATTCTGATAAAGCTTTGATCTTACTGGGGAGAGGCTGCAGAGAGTTATTAGAAAGTATTAGTCCCAAAATATCTAATCTTGTTATACCAAGGAAGCATTCTTCGGCTTTGGGAGTGAGGCCATGTGAGCATAACCCACGCAAAAACTGATGTTAATGTTTGGATATGTTCGCCCACGGGATGTCATTACGTAAATGTTATCAAAATAAACTGAAAACATTTGGCATATTACCCAAGACCTTTCTCATCAGTCTCACGTAGGTAGCACAGGCAGTTACCCAAAACGAAGGGCATAGTTCTATATTGCATCAGTCCTTGGGGTAAAGGAAAGCAGTGTACTGCTTAGAAGAAGGATTTACATTTCTTGATGATATGCCTGCTCAATATCAATCTCTGAAAAGAAGAAAGAGTCATAAAAAATTTTTGTAGATCGCTATCTATTAAGGATATTTGGCTCAGATCCCCCGAGTTATAGCATTAAGGCCTCTGGGAAATCAATAGCAAGTCATATGAATTATCTTCCTTCTTAACCATGACTACAGGTGAGCAATATGCAGATACTGAAGGTTCAATGATCTTTAGTTTTAATAATTTGTCTACCTCTCGGTCAAATGCATGCCTAAGGTGAACTGTAACTGGGTATAAATTTTCGTTTGATAGGATTGTCTGGGCACTAAGTCAATCTTATGGACTACCCTGGGGGTAACACCTGGAATTATCAGTAAAGACGTCTGAAAAGTTACTCACACATTGAAGTAGTTCATGTCTCTTACGGTCATCCAAAGATTCATTAATATTAATGTTGGTTGCGCCCGAGTGGTCAAGAGTCACCAAGTCATGTAGTTCTTCATCATAGTCTTAAGTTAGAGGTGTCAATTATGCACACCTTACATTCTTCAGTTGTTTTATAAAGTTCGTGTGGAAAAACAAGCCCAAAGTTTTAAAGGGCAGTTACCAAATTTTTTGGTTATTTCAAAGGGTGCGATATGAACAGTTGGGTAGTCAACTTTCCCAAAAATTTTTTAATATTTTATAGGGGCCTTTCCATGTACTAAAAATTTATTTGACTTGATAGGAAAGTACCAGAACTTCATCCCCTATTTAAAAAATTCCCCTTGATTTTTGGGAATCAAAAGGTTTGGAAAATGGCCTTGACAAGCAAATTTTTTTCGAAACTATGTCAGAGGTTCCTCAAGTTTGGATGTGGGGTCAAGGAGAAAACTGATAAAAGACGACCAAACCTTATCATCCCCGTATTCCCCATTTGACCCCTTTTTTTGGGCCCAAAATTTCCTGTGAAATTGTTAAAAAAAAATATAATTATTCACAGAACTCCATTTTTTTTTATTGAATGGTAAAAGAAACCACCCATTTACGATTTCAACACCAATACGAGTCAGAATTTGCAATTTGAAAATTTTCACACAAATTTCAAAAAAAAGCCAATTTCCGATGGGGTCCGAAAAACAAAAATGACATTCCGGGCACTAAAATTAAATTTCCTCTGCTCATTAGTCACATCCCCATCCCCCTCTTACTTCTTTTGTTTTTCATTTTTAAATTTTTATTCTCACAAAAAAAAGAAGATTTACTGTTACGCAGACTAATGCATGGTGACAAATGGTAATATAATATCGCGCATTTGTGAAAGAAATATCAGACTCACCATTGACGTGTATTGGACGCATAGCATGATTTTTTTTACTTTGAACTTTGGAAAAAATAAAATTTTTCGTACTTTGAGTTCAATTTAAAGGGGTACTTTTCATCTTTAAAAAACCAGTCAATCATCTCAATTTCTGTAATATGCTTCCATTCTATAAAGCGAGCCCAGAAAATTTAAATAAAACAATAAATCCCATACAAAATCCCAGTGCAAAGTCACTTTTTTAATCCAAAAATACGGTCAAAGTTTTTTTTCTTTTCTAATTATGCACTGTGTGCTGCAGGATTTTTTTTTTTACATGCACACTGCCACATAGACCCATTCTTTCAAAGTGGGCCTACCAGCTTTCTCCACTATTTTTGGGGGCGCTGGGGGAATTTAGGGTATAGAAAGTAAAAAACCCCTGGCACGAAGGCCTTAGTAAGGCCCGAAACCCTGAAAGGGTTTTAAGTCAAATTAGTTGTCGGGATATGGTTCCTTGGAAATGCTTGTTTTAGCATCATTATTAAATTGTAGACGCAGTTTGAGCCCAGTGCAGAAAAAAAATTTTCTCTTATGCTGACTTCCCATGGAGAAGTTATCTAAAGCTTAACAGTTTGTTTTACGAGGATTTTTGCCGGGCCTCGTAAATAATTTTAAAGCCATTTTTATCCCTTTCCTTTTCCGGGGTTTTTGCAGCAATTTTTCGTTCTGTACTTTTGTTTGAAAATTTGGTCTTTTTAAAAATTTACCAGGTTTTATTGAGATTTCTATCTTTGAAAATATTTATCCATGGGGTCTTGTAGGTTTTTTAAGTTCCTGGTTGTTATAACTGGGTTAGTGTTAATACAGGGATGAACCTGCTTTCCCATTTTAAATATCGCTTGGAGATATTTAGGAATTTAAAAAAATTAAAAATGACTAAAAATTATCTGTTGGCCATTTTAGTAAAAAATTTGTTGGGTCATGACATGGGTTGTGGCAAGAAAATTTGCCAAAGTTTTTTTTTTTGAAAATTATCCATTTGCTCTTGATTAAAAGTTCCTGCAAAGATTGTAGTTTTGAAGGGGGCTTTTAAGTATGTTAAATGTTCGAATGTGGTGCTGCCAGTAATTTTTTTTTCAGTTTTTTTAAAGGCTTTTTTTTTACGGTTATGAATATGATTTTGGATTTGGGGAGTCATAAACCAAAGAAAAGGTACCAAAAGAAAGGGAGGGGAAAACCCAGAGGCAGTGGTGCAAACCTGAGCAGCAAGGGAAACTATAATGGGAAACCCTTGGAAAGCACTGAAATTATTGACTACAATGTTACCCACCAGAAGAAGACAATTTTTCAAGAAGCCCCCATTTGAACCCAACCTTCCCGGGGGTCGGCGAACGTTTCTTATGACAGTCGTCCATATTGAACTTCCCGCCAGTTTAAAACTTGGTCTTTAAGCTGACTTAGACATGGAGAAAAATGCCGGGTTTGTAGCAGAGTCAGAGCGTACATTTGTTCTGGAAATTATTTATCAGCGAGTGATGACTGGATTTCAGCGGTATCTAGTGTGGTTGGGTTCACCGCTACACTTAGCCCAGGACTTTAAAGGGTTCAAAAATGTGATCAACCATAAAGTTTTTTCCCCTGGAGTGCAGGACTGCCAAGGCATGTACTACAACAGATTCAGAAGAACGCAAACCACCGTGAGAGAAATGAGACTCACGGGAAGATGATCGTAGAGGTATGCATTGAGAAATGTTTGTTTAAATTTGAAAAAGTACACATTGTACTTTTTCATACACCAAGAAAAAT